AATGTTAATAGCTCCCTATACTGTCCTTCATATTAAATCACAGGAATTTTATTTTTGGTTTTTCTTTTAGAAGATGAACATTCTGAAACATTATTGATGTATAAATAATGAAATACTCTTTTGAGGTTTAGAACCCAATTAATAATTAAGAATGCAATTGATAATTATTCTAAGTGTGAAAACATACAAATAGTGATGATGAAAAAGTTTCAAGAGCTTTTCATTTGTAAAATGAATTATGTTAAGATTACCAAAATGGTATTTATATTTATTATCTGAAGGAAAAATTCTAGTTTGCAATTTTTGTATAAATATTTGCAGATAAATGTAACTTTTCTGATTTAGATCTTTAATGTCCGTTTAAAAACTCATGTATTAGGCAATGCAGGAATGTTCAGGCATTAAATGATTAGATAATGAGAGCTGTAACCTCATCAATGGATTGACCCATTTGATTTATTACCTCATCAATGGATTAACCCATTTGATGGACAGTAATTTGAATGGACTACTACATGATAACTGTAGGCTTAGAGGAAGTAGGTCACTGGTAGTGAGGCCTCAGACTACTCTTGTCCCTGGCTCCACTCTCTCTCTTTCTCTGCTTCCTGGCTTCCATGACCTGAGCATCTTTCCTAAACCATGGCCTTCTGTCATGATGTTCAACCTACCATCAGATCCAGAACAGTGGAGTCTGCCAGGCATGGACTGAACCTCAGAAACTGTGAGCCCCAAATAAACTCTTTCTCCTCTAACTTGTTTGTGCTAGGCATCATGGTCAGAGTAATAAAAAGCTGATTAACAGAAAAGATTTCTAAGTAGTTTATTATTTATTAACTATTTCCAATTTTTTTTTCTAAATTTGAGAAGCAGAAAAGCAATCACATTAGCTTAGGATTCAGTAGAGTTTAAGAATGTTAAAACTACATTATTTTTACTATCTTCATTCAGTGTGTAAAAGAAGCATATATTTGAGTTATTCTTGGAACATTCCAAGAAAATCTGAAGATAACTGAACTTTAAAAACAGTCTGCATTTGTACTTGAACTTGGGGTAAAATCATAATACTAAAATATATTTGCAGATGAAATGAAATAAAACACAGTTTATGCTATACATAAGCAAAACATGCTTACAAGTAATATTTTTAAAACACAGAATAATAAATAACAATGATTATGAAGAAATTGAATTTCCTTCAAAATAACTGTCTTTGCCAAACTAGTTAGGAGTATGCCAAAGTTCAGATATTTTCTACAATATTTTGTGCATATAAAGAAAAATATAATTTAAGTACAAAATACCATTGCCATTTTATAGAAGCATAATACATGTTTTAATTTTCTTTTACATATATTCTTGTCATATTTTCAAAAAAATGATTCATATTATAATTTTCTTGTGCATATATCTATAAATATTGAGTAGTTCATTTTCATTTAAAATTTATTACTTAAAAGAATTACAAACCTAAGCACTTAGAGTTGCCTCTCCTCTGATTCTTTATTTCCACATAATTCCCTAAGCTTTCTTTTATAATCAACTGTTATTTATAAATAATTTGAAATAAGTCAGATATATCTTTGCCTTTGTTTAGATCTATGTAAATATGTAATATTCCTATAGATGTTCAAGTCAGTTTTTTAAAACTTTAATATCAATGTATTGTATTACTGAATTTTAACAAAATGTTTCTTAAGAAACAATATCTTTCTATTGTATGTACATTCTTATTTCTCTGTAATCTTTTGTATTACATATATTATTTAACTGAAAAAGGGGCTTTTGTTTTTTAGCCACAAGGAAAATGAGAACAGGAAAAAGTGACCCAGATGGCTAACTTTTTAAAGAAAATATATTTTATTTCATTTTAACAAATGTTATCATTTAAATAATATTTAAAACATGTAACATGTAGTACATTGTATTTCCTTATGTTTATTAACTTTTAACTAAGAAAAATTTGAAAAATTTCAGTGAATAATATTTGTAACATTTTTCTTACTTTTGAAAATGAAAACTTAGTCAAGAATTTCATTAGTTTCTAATGGTCTACTGTTTTAAAGTTCTCCAAAGAAATAACGATTATAATGTGAGTCAATATTATATGACCCTTTTGATTTGCAGCACTGGAATAATTCAAGAGACAGCCTTGAAAGAAGAGATCATTTATTTGAATTTAATATAAATAATTTTTATGTTGATAATGTTAAGATATTAAATTATAACTTATATTCCTACTTTACAAGCTTTAAATATTAGATATTAAACCTGTTTCTATTTACAAAAATTTTGTGCTGATGTTATGTTTATGTCTTGATAAAACCAAAAGGAAGTCCTCAAGTTAATTATAAGCTAAAAATTAATCCACTCTGAGTTAAAAGAATCATCTAAATATCAGGAATATTGTATGAACTAGTTTACTATAAAGGACCCTTTGCATTCATATATCAAAATTTTGAAATATTTAAATCAGCTTATATAAAGCTAAAGCCATCACCCAGGTTCTCAGTTAAACTTTTTGATTCTGTTCTATAATTTTCTAGGAAAAACAGAAAAAGAAAACATGGGAAAAAGCACATACATTTTTAAAATTTTCTTTTATTTATAATTTCATATCTATCTACCTAAGATATTCCTACAAATAATTAACTCCAAATACATTGATATTTTTTAATGACCAATAATCCCAAATTTTCCCAAAAGAGATGACAAGAGGAGAGAAAGAAAAAGGAATTTATGAGAGCTAGCTTCACATATAGAAATATTTATAAATCAATCATAAATTCATTATAAATTAGTCACAATATAATATATACAAATATGGATATATATTTATATAAATTAATCACTGTAAAGCCTAATTATTTTTCTAATAGAAAGAAAAGGCTTATATTCAAAAGAAACATTTTGATACATAAGTTAGAAATAATATTCTCTTTGGTGATAAAGAGCAAAAATCTTACTAAAATGTTTAAATGGTAGTCCTTTAAAAAAATTCATTAACAATTACCTATTTCACTTCATACCGATTTTTAAAAATTTAATGTTCAGAATAAAATTAGGAAAGCAGCTAGTATTTTAGTATATAAGAAATAGAGCCAAGAATGTAGACATTTTTACTTACATATTTCCAAAGCATCTAGTACCTAATACATCACATCCTTATTCAGACTTAGACCTACTCTGTTCTTTCATACCTTTTATAAATGAGTATTTATGTGTTTTTACATTCTTCCTATTTCCTCTAAAGGTAATATAAATAGGCTAAATAAATTAATCTGTAGTTAAAATTATAGTGTTATATTACTTATTTAATAATGTGTTTCCCTATATATTCTGACCATGACCTGCAAGGCAAGGGAATAAGTAACCGTCCTAGGTGTGGCCAGACTGGAAATAAAAGGCTGAAAACCTGGTAATCCCAGCTGCTTGGAAGGCTAAGGCAGGAGGATCATGAGTTCAAAGCCAGCCTCAGCAAAAAGCAAGGCTCTAAGCAACTCAGTGAGACCCTGTCTCTAAATAAAATACCAAAAAAGGGCTGAGGGTGTAGGTTCAGTGGTCGAGTGCCCCTGAGTTCAATTCCTGGTACCAAAATAAAATCAAAACAAAACCAAAACACGAACGATAAAGAAAGAAAACCAAAGGAGACAAAAAATACATTGAAAACGGGAGATTTTCGGATGGAAAAGACCTGATGGATCTGATCCTAACAAAGGGAGATAGGCCACCAACCTTTATTTTATAGGAGAACACTTGAAAGGAATTCATTGTTCAGAAGAGTTCTTCAAGATAAAAGAAAGGCAAGAGGCTGGAAGGTGGGCTTATTGGGGCCTTATCCCTTGCTTAGTAATCCTTCCTCCTCCAGGCAGCTGGGTCTCAAGGCTGTTTAAGCACACTGCTATCTCTTTTAACCAAGGCTCCCAGGCATCTAAATTCAAAGCTATCGAACTCATAAATTCCATGCCAGGCATAGAATCAGCCCCATTGACAGAGGCCGCCTGCAAATGAGCACGTTTTTCTACATCTTCGCATGGGGCAGCCAAAATATCCAAGGCTGTGGAGTTCAAAGCAATAATTTATTTGCCTCTCCTGACAATATAGTAATGTATTCACTTAATAAATATTTGTGTAGTATGATTGCTTATCAATGACTAGAAAAGGCCAATGAGTCTTTGTTCAATTTTCAACTCATTAATTTTTAAAATATACATAACAAATTTAAGCGTACATGAAAATGAATCACAATTCATGAAAATAGAAAAAGATTGAAAGAATCAAGAAAAAAGAATCTAAAGAAGCACAAAGGAAGAGGAAACTTAAAGATTTGAAAATGTTAAGTTATACACAAAAGACTCATAGACACTAAACCTTTTGCAGCAGAAGAGAGACAATATAGTTTAAAACTCCTGGTCTCAATATATTGTTAGCTCTGGCTCTGGATTTTTGGTATTAACATTCCTTATTTTTCACTATTGGAAACTATTACTTTGCCTAATAAGCAGCTTTTCAATTGCTTTCATACTAAAAGAGCCATTATGAGGATAACTGTTTACATTTTCATGGAGTTACTTAGGATTTAGAAGAGAATTGAACTGTATTTAAAAGAACTTAATTATGTGAGTACTTATGATAAGCTCATTTTAGCACATTCTGTTGAAGGTAATTTTTTAATTTCCTTAACCAGACAGGTTTATGAATAACATAAGCAATTGTACTTGATTTATAAACAACTCTGTAAGAGGAAAGAAAATGGAAAAATTGATCTCTAGAACGTTTTGCAATGAATAGTAAAATCATAGCAATATGGGATTAAAAATGTACTGCATTCCTCTTGGAAATGTGCATTTTATTTGTATTTATTTGTAGATATAATCAATTCCTACACTCCTTATTCCTCTCAATATAAGAGTAATATCATAGGCTTTAAGATTTTTAACTACTGATACCATATTCTTTTTTAAAAATCATTATTAATAGTGATTGTATATTATTCACAGATCTTGGCTGACCTAGAAAACCATGCATTATTTAAGAATGACTTGGAATGTCAAAAGCTGATCCTGGAAGCAATGAAATATCATCTACTGCCAGAAAGAAGAACTTTAATGCAAAGTCCAAGAACTAAACCCAGAAAATCTACAGTTGGAACACTCTATGCAGTAGGAGGAATGGATAACAACAAAGGTATATAATTTTAGATCTGGATTAAGACAAACCCTGTGCCACACCATCACTCAATTTTATTATTATAATCTGGATAAACAAATAATGTTTGCATAAACTTAGCTTTAACAATTATGATTTAAGACTAAAGGAAAATTAAATTTCCATTTATATTTCTGGTCTGTATTTTTCACTTCTGTTTATTCATCTTTAAATTCTTTATTTATCTCTTCTGCATTACATCCAAGATTTCAAATGAAATTAGAAAATAATTTAAACTTAACACAGGCCAATTTTGTTACATACATTGAAAACTGCATTTCAGTTCTAAGTAAAGAAAACACAGTATGTCAGAGACATGCTAACTCCAGTACAATTATGATAAGATTCTGCATGTGAAGGGTCTGGGGATGTAGCTCAGTTGGTAGAGTGCTTGCCTTGCATGCAGAAGGCCCTGGGTTCAATCTCTAGCACCATTTAAAAAAGAAATCTCTGCCTTTGAGAATCTGAGATTTTCAGATAGCATTCAGACAGATAAGTAGATAATTATAAATTAGTATAATAACTGTGGTAGTTTTCATTGGAGCAAAATGAAATCTCATTCTTCTTGGTTTAGTCAGCTTTTTCACTCTGGGACCTGGCCAGAACAATTTAAGAGTAGGAATACTTTGTTTGACGCTCGTGGTTTCCTACATGGCTAACTCCTTTGCACCTGAGGTGACACAGAACATTATGGTAAAAGGGTGTGGAAGAAGAAAGCAGCTCAGGAAATTAGCAATCAGGAGGTAGAGAGAACTCCACATATCAGGGACAAAATATAAACCCCAAAAGCATTTCCCTAGTTATCCACTTCCACCAGCCACATCCTACCTACCTAGAGTTACTTTCCAGTTAATCCATATCAATGGATTAATACACTAATTAAGTTAAAGCTCTCATAATACAATCATTTCACCTCATGACAATACAACATTCTTGTATTGCCTTAGATGTGAGTTTTTGGAGGACACCTCATAACTAAACTTTAACAGTCTCTTTCCAAAAGGAAAAAATCTGGATAAAGATTTTAATGGTTACTTGTATGTTTCATTGTGACTGGTTTAGGGATACTCAGGTTGTTGCAAAACATTATTTCTGATGGTGTTTCTTTCTTTCTTTTTTTTAATTTAATGCAATTTATTCTTTAGAACAGTGGTCTCCAATTTTTTTGATTACACAGCTCTTTTTTTTTTTAGATCGCCTGACCAAGGCTTTATTACAATATAGCAATACTAATGTCTATTTTGTTCTGCTGCCCTTTTATCCCCCCTTCCCCTCCTCTCCCCTCCCATCACCTCTCTCTACCCAATCTAATGTGAAACATTTCTTCTTTTTTTCCCTCACATCATCATACATGTATTTTGTATAATGATGAGGGTCTCCTTCCATCTTCCATGCAATTCCCCTTCTCCCTTTCATTCCCTCCCACCTCTCTTCCCTATTTAGTGGTAGTCTTCTTCTCATACTCTTCCTCCTTACCCCATTTACAGTCACCCCCCCTTATATCAGAGAAGACATTCAGCATTTGTTTTTTAGGGATTGGCTAACTTCACTTAGCATAATATGCTCCTAATGCCATCCGTTTCCCTGCAAATGCCATGATCTTGTTATTTTTTAGTGCTGCATAATATTCCATTGTGTATAAATGCCACATTTTTTTTATCAATTCATCTATTGAAGGGCATCTAGGTTGGTTCCACAGTAGAGCTATTGTGAATTGTGCTGCTATAAACATTGATGTGGCTGTGTCCCTGTAGTAAGCTCTTTTTAGGTCTTTTAGGTGTAGTCTGAGAAGGGGAATAGCTGGGTCAAATTGCGGTTCCATTCCCAGCTTTCCAAGCAACCTCCATACTGCTTTCCAAATTGGCTGTACCAATTTGCAGTCCCACCAGCAATGTATGAGTGTACCTTTTTCTCCGTATCCTCATCAGCACTTGTTGTTGTTTGACTTCATAATGGCTGCCATTCTTACTGGAGTGAGATGTTTCTCATGGTGTTTCTAGAAAGATTAGCATTTGATTCAACAGACTGAGCAAAGAAGCTTGAATATCATATTGCCTTCATTGATGTAGTGAACATTTCCAGTTCCCTGAGGTCCTGGATTGAGCAGAACGACAAACAAAAGAATTTACTTTCTCTTCTGGAGTTGGCTATATATCCTCTGGCTTCAAACTTCGTAGTAACAGGTTCTCAAAAATTCAAACTTCAGTAATTATACCAGCAGTGCACCCCTACACACACACACACGCACACACACACACACACACACACACACACACACACACACAGCCCTTTTGCCTCCTGGTTCCCAGGCTGTGTATCTAGAGTAGATTACATCACTGACTTCTCTGATCCTGCAACTTGAAGACTGCTTATTGTGAGGAATTCTTGATTTCCATAATTGTGTGAGCTTATTTCCATAGTAATTTTCTCATATATATCTCTATACAATATTGATTCTTTTTCTTTATAAAACCCTGACTAATGTAGTGATTGTCTATAAAAAAACTGCCTCAAAATATATTTGAACTTTATAAAATTTTTATAGTGGCTTTACCACAGAAAGCCATTATATATCTCTTATTCTTTCTTTATTACATAATTTACTTCCAGATACATTCTATGGATGACAAGTTTTTAGACTTTATGATTTCATTTAAAAATGTACTTTCTACTTGAAGAAATATTATAGTTTCTTAGGTTTCTTAACAAATTGTAATATCAGAATTACTGAGAAAAGCTTATATTGCTTCAAGTAATAATACCAGCTTTGACTTAATGAAATTGAGTTTTAGTCATTGTCATTGATTCATTCATTGATTCATTCATTCATTCAAGACAACTAATTATGCATCTATTACCTGCCATGCATTCAACTCTAGAATGTCACTTTTTCAATTCAAGAATAGTAATGTTGCAGTTATCAAATAAAATCAAGATAATTTTCAAAAATATGAAATACAAACATAACTGTCAATTAAAAGCGGTAGACAACTTGTTGTTTTGAGAACTAAAGAAATGACAAATGATTTCTGACCCTTCTTCTCTCCATTTTATCTCCCTCAGAGTTTCACTTCTTTCATATACCATCAAATGTTGTTATTTAATATGATATTACAGAAGTTTTAGAAAATGTATAATGGTTTTAAAATGTCTTTTTTAAAAAATATTTTTTCTAGTTGTAGTTGGACACAATGTCTTTATTTTATTTTATTTTTTTTTATGTAGTGCTGAGGATCGAACCCAGAGCTTTGCACATGTTAAGTGAGCACTCTACCAATGAGCCACAGCCCCATCCCCTTAAAATGTCTTTTTAAAGAGATGAAACAGAAAATATCTTATCAGATAAAAATCTTTTGACCTACAAATAGTTAGAAATTATAGCATCATAAAAGCAAAGATTTATCTCAATCAAGAAAACAAAGCTATTAATGTGTATCTCCATTGTCTTTAGGAGAGTAATAAATCCCAAATAACATGCATAATATTCTATGCCCTAGAACAGAAGCAGGAATACATTGTTATAATGTTGTGGTAAGTTAATTTTATTTGGTAAACCTTCGATTTCTAGAGACTATTAATAAATACATTCCTCCTGGTCTCAGATTTTATAAATATAAGTCTAATACATTATTTATCTAATTTCAAAGTCAAACAAATACCATTTGTTTTTTAAAGAATGCCATATTCCATGGGAAAATACTGATGTAATATCAATTCCATATGTGCATCTGCACATGATAGTATTTTATATAAAAAAGCAAACAAAAATATCAATTGAACGTTCAATAAATTCATATTACAAGAAGCCACTGCATGATTAAAGAAACAAAGCATGTGACTAATTTGCCAGTGCTCTCAGCATTAACCTGGGCTGAGATTCCTTAATTGTACTATGGAAAATAATAGTGTAGAATTCTAGAGGCATGAAAATATAAGAACTCTATGAAATAATAATAATATGCTGATTGTAGTGTCTTATTTCTGGAACCCAATGACATGGGAGGCTGAGGAGAGAGAAATACAAAATCAAGGAAAACCTCTGCAACTTAGCAAAACCCTGTCTCAAAATTAAACAATAACTAAGTTTTTAAAAGGTTGGGAAAGAAATTCAGAGGTAGAGTGACCCGGGTTCAATCCTCATTACCAAAAAAATAATAATAATAATTAATTAAATAAATAAGGGATAATGATGTGATACAGCGAAGGAATAAGGCAGTTAGGTGGTCATGTAAGTGATACATATATGAATATCATGATGTATAAGGTAAATATCTTTTTCCTTTTTCTGGTACTAGAGATGGAACTCAGGGTCACATGACCAATGAGCCATATCCCCAGCTCTATTTTGTATTTTATTTAGAGACAGGGTCTCACTGAGTTGCTTATTAGCATCTCACTTTTGCTGAGGTTGGCATTTAGCTCTCAATTCTCCTGCCTCAGCCTCCCGAGCTACTGGGATTACAGGTGAGCACCACCATGCCTGCAGCCAATTCAAACAACAGTCAAGAATGATGAGTCAAGAAAAAAGAATTAAGTGATAAATGGAATTTTGTATTGTATTTTTTAAAAGTGTTATAATTTAGATTTTCAGTATCTCCCAAAGGCCCATATTTGAAGGTGTGGTCCCCAACATATGGTACTATGGAGAGGTGGTGTAACCTCTAGTAGTTGGGGCCTAACAGAAGGAAGTTAGGCCATTGGGGGCATACTTTTGAAAGAGATATTGGAACTAGGGGCCCTCTCAACTCTTTCTTTTAGTTTATCCTAAACTATGAGTGAATGAATTCTTGGTGAAAAATTAGTGTGTGGGAGGTAAAGTTATTATGATGTATGAATTTATTTTTTTCTAGAAAGTATAGATGACTTTATATCACCATTAAATTATGCAGAGTGCCAGTTTCAATATCTTCTCAAAATTTTCTGTATTAAAAAATTATTTCATTATGAGCAATTTCTAGTATAAAGTAGAAATAATTGGA